TCGCTGACTACACGTACCCGCCGCTCTATACCTACGCCACGCTGGTGCCTGCCACCTACAATTCGGTCATAAACCCGGTCATCTATGCCTTCAGGAACCAGGAGATTCAAAAGGCGCTGTGGCTGGTGTGCTGCGGCTGTGTTCCCACCAGTGTGGCTCACCGTGCACGGACTCCGAGTGATGTCTGACCAAGCAGACCCAGGTGGGAAGAAAGAGAGGCAACCTGGGTCAGCTCTGCTCCTCACTGGATCTTACCAGTGCCAAAGAGAGAGCAGCAGCAGAGGAGGTCCGGGGCAGTAGTGGAGGGCTGTGGCTTGAGCTCTGGCCTGGAGATGTCATTGGCAGACGCAGATTGGTTAATCATCCACAGCCAAATGGATGCATGGATGGATGGCTAGATGGCATTTTTTTCTTTGATACACGTACCACAGGGCAAAGTATCTCACTGTCTTCCCCAATAAAGACCACTATCGGGACTTCCTCCCGTTCAACCCATGCCACACCCTTCCTCATGTCTGCAGAGAGCACTGAGTGCATCACATGTTAAAGGCAGCAGCTGTATATATAAGACATGCATACACTAAGCGGAACCGGACCACTTGAGGACATGTGCTTATTTTCCACCAACAGGGAGGAATTGTTAGTTTCCGCCTGCGTGTGTGCATGTGTGTCTGCGTGTGTGTTTGTGTAAAAACCTCACGGCGCATTAGTTTGTGATGAGCGGAGAAGGAAGGAGGGAGGGAGCCGACCGCGGCTCAGTACGCAGGCATTTCCACAGCAAAGCCCGTCTGGAGCAGCAGCAACCCGGCAGCTCTGCTGTTGCACTCTGAACGTGCGTCGAAAGCTAAACAGCCGCGGAGAGCTATAAATAGACCCGGAGCTCTCTGATCTGCGCCCTGCGTTCTCAACGGAAAGAAATCAAGCCGCTCCCTCTTTCTTTTCTCCCCTCTCTCATGTTCTCATCCCTTTTTTCCACCCTTTCTGGAGGTATTTTAGTTCAGCTCGCATCTCTGAAGCCCAAGACAAAGCACTTGAGAGACTTTCCCCATTAGCCCCCTCTTTCATTTTTTTATTAGTATGGATGGAGGCATCAAACCATATAGAGGCCTGTTGGATTAAATAACATGACTGCATACCTCTCCTCCTCCACCTCCTGAGGGGAGATTTACATTTCAAACATATAAAAGAAAAACAGCTGAGGAATAACATGGGTGGTGAAATTAACACAGCTGATCAAATAAATGGAACCAGAGTAGCAAAATTATACTGTTTATTTTATTTGATCATGTTTCCCTCCCGAAGAGCCTCAACCTCATTAATAGGTGTGCATGTAATGGCCCGGTTTAATTTGCATGCAGGTCCCTCATTGCTCTTCCCGAGTTCAGTGTGGTAGGTCACACAGGTCGCTGCAGGCAATGTGCCGTGGTTTCCTGATGTCGCCATGACCCAAACAATTGTGTTTATGTATAATGTACCTCACATTGAAAGAGCTAAAATCATTGCACCAAGGTCACAGGAGAGGTTTTTGTTTCAGCATTTTGCTTCAGATGCTCTGATAATGATCATTCCACATCACTCCTCAGCTGCTCTGAGTTAGTTCTCCAGAATATTTTGGTTTAAAAACAGGTCTGCAACCTTCTCGAAATCGTCAAGTCCTTATTTCCTATTCAGCAATAACTAGCCTGTGATTGGTAGTTATTTTTTAGACGCGAAGCAATACTCAGACAGCAATAACATCCGCATCCCACCGCGACTTCTTCCTACAGAGTCAAGTACCATCTTGGCGATGTGTTGCAGAGAACAGGCTCAGCGAACTACGAGTGATGCTTCAGAGATACATCTTCAAATGGATGATAGACACATAATCACTTCCATGGCTGAGGGAAAAGAAAAAAAAGAGGATGAAACTACTCATTCATCACAGTGACACCACTGCCTCATTTCTCCACAACCCTACATCGGTCTTCAATCATTTATCACACCGGGGTGAAAATGTGAACTTTCTTTTCCTGTTGCCTCTGCCTTTTGTGAGCATACGAACTGTCCGTCCTGAGTTTTGTAATCTCAAATGTGTGATTTGGGACTGTTTTGCATGGTCTCTGGGTGTGTGCATGTGTGTGAGTGTGATCCATCAGCTCAGCAGACCAGAATCTGTCTCCTTGTGTGGGTCAGAGGGGGAATAATGTAGGTCTGAGACATATCAAGTCCTGTTGACCTCTGACCTTATAGGAATATGCTGTAAGTCTTCCTGTCAATTCTGAAATAAGTGGCCTCGTTATGTGTTTGTAGAGCTTCTTGGAAGGAGATGGGACTAGGAGGTGGGTGCAGTGGCTGGAGGGAGCTCCAGCACCTCAAGCCAAAGTGAAACGGACTCTAAATGAACTGGGATCCTAGTCCTGCTGGTGTCTTCTGTCTCCTCTATCACTAATATTTTACTCTACGTTAAACAGTTTAGTCTGGTTGAGGCAGGTGTCCGTTAAGTGACCTCTGAATGATCCTATGAGCTAAAAAAGGCTACTTCCAAATAAAAAGATAATGTCTCTTCTTTCCTTTCTTGCTGCTTCCCCCAACTCTCAGAGAGCCTGATTTGTGGGGCTCCCAGTATTAATCTTTCTGGCCTCAGACCAGGTGGGATCAGTGAGGAAAGTTAAAGGACAGCATTTCCAAGCATTGGAGTGTAGCCCTTGTATGTGAACTTGTGCACAGTGTCAGACTGCACCCTGTAGTCATTTGATTAGCACCGACAGGTCAGACTGGCACACCACAAACCATCACAAACTCTTGTTACTTTACCTTTGGAGAAAAGTCTATTTTGTTATATTCATTGAGAAGTTCTATTTTTTTCCACTTCAGTCTGGCTTGACTTCTTTCGGATTCTGATGTTGTCTTGATATATTAACCGCGCTGTAAAGCCTTTTTCTGAATGTAGTATTTATCAACTTGTTTAACCGACTCTCTCGACTTGTGTGTTTCTGTAAATAAGGCATGCCGAAGAGGAGGGACTTTATACCCACCGTGCATGGTGCTACCAAAGCCAGTCAAACTACAGGATGAGTTAAGGTTGCACCATATTTTCAGTGACATTTCTCCACTTTGGCTGTTAACGTGGACTCTTTGTTCAGTTAAGACTTTACTTTCCTCGCTTCAATATGCACCAGTTTGTCAAGGCTGGTTACAGGATGATTAGGAAGGCTTGGGTAAGCGTATGGGAGATGTTTTGGTGGTACGTGACTTTCTCTCATTGGTGAATGTGAATCTCTTGTGTGCAGCCAACAGTATTGTTGAGATTTTCATTGTTGAACATGTGAAAAAGGGCTTTGTATCCAAGAAAGGCAAACGACTGTGATGTTGGATGTAATACTAACCTGTAGATGCACCTGTTAATGTACCCAAAGGTTTCACGGTGTCATAGTACTTAAGGTTGTGTACTAAACAGCGGTTATTTTTGGTGGGTAATGTTGCCAGTAATGGGCGCTTAGTTAAGCAGGAGAAGACCTAATTTAGAGCTAAATATCAAAACACTCAAGGGTGGGGATGGGCAATTAATGCTCCCAAGGGGAAACCTGAGAAACTGAGATTGTTGTGGAGGGCACCACCCTGCTGCCAGGGTACACCCTGGACATGTCAACGTCAAAGGATAAATTGGAGATAATTTACCTGAATTTCAGAGTTCTCCATCTATATATGAATCCCACCGCCCCACTACAAGCAGTTTGTTCTTGTTTCTGCGCCCCACCTCTCCTCTCTTTTTCAATTAATTCGTCGCTCATTTGTACATGGGGTTCTGCCTGGCTCGGGAGCCACCGCCAGTGCCCTTTGTGGCCTTCCCGGACCATATCCTCAATTCATGCTTACGCCATATACCGTTATCTACTAGAAATGCTGTCAAATCTAAATGAGGATATGGTCCAGCTTAGTGATATTATTTGAGCAGAATTCAGCAAATTGGTTCAAGCTTCAACAACAGTCCCAGTTACTTATGTGATCCCTTAGGAAAGGTAATTGCCCAGCCTCGCTCAAGGGTCCGCGAATGTGTGGGTATGTGTGTGTGCGTGTGTGTTTTAGGGTTGGGTTTGGAGATAGGGGCGACACCACGGAAACGGTAAGAGCATCTTGTGTAAACGTATGCGTAGTTCTCGATGTGAAATGCACTTTATTTTTGGGGGGATGAAAATGGCACAACAATTTAAGTATCTGCAAAATATAAACGATAATCAACATGCACTAACTTAACTGAGATATTGTAAAAAGAAAAAAAACACATTTGTGTGACCGTGCTGTCTATTTTTCCAAGGTGTTAGTTGTACTTTTTATTGCTTTGGTTAGTTCACTCAACTGAGAGATCTTGTTAATTTTGTATTAAAACCAAACATGTGCTGTGCATAAAACTCCTGCCTGGACTCCCTTTGTTCATCCTTGCCCCTCCCTTTTCGCACTCTTCTGTTTCCCTGGCAACTCCCTTCTTAGCTGTACTGTTCCCATGGAAACTGAAGGGCCAGGTATTTGTCGTTCCTATGACAACAGGGAAGAGACACAGAAACCCAGTAATTTTTGTTCATTCATCATTTTATTTTTCTCTGGGTCAAAGGTTACACAGCTGACACTAGCATATACATGCCCCCGCCCTCCCCAATCCCAATATCCCTCCCTCACAGCAGTGAGCGACAGCAGGCGGCTCAATAGCCTATCATACTCTTCATCAGTAAATCTCTCATCCATTCGTCCATCCCCAAAGTATTTCAGATGCTCGTTCTGGTCATCTGTTCTGCAGCCAGCTCCTCCATAAATTCCAGTTATTGTCTACACATTAAAGTCTCGCTTGGTGATCTACATCATAAGTGTTTCAGTAAAAATAGTTTTTAAAAAAAAGGTACATTGGTTAGCTCAAGAGGAAAGTTTCTAATAATTCTAACACTCTCAAGCTTTAACTATACATAAAATAACAACCTGTTCTCATTCCCAGGACGTTAAACACTCCTTTTTTTTCTTCTTTTTTTTCCCTTGACCATCCCAGCTTTGCCGTAATGGACGTTAAACACTCCTGTTTGTCTGAGCCGCTGGGCGCCTCACAGGCACGCACAAGGTGGCATGTGTGTTGCGACGGAGGATCTATCTCATGGTGCTAATAAAAGACCACTTGGCAGCACATTTAAACACACGGCGTAATCAGCATTTTTCAAAATGCAGGATTCATGTTGAGAAGGCCTGTATCTCGACATAATCGAGTGCTTTTTAGCACCTCAATTGAAACGTGAAAGAATCACAGAACACAAAGCCACCCATCCATCTCCCTAATGAGGGTTTTAGAGACGACTGTTATAGGTGTGACCAGAGCTTAAAGCATAATTTATGGTCCTGCAAATGCGTCTGTCTGCATATGTGTTTCTGTTTGAACACCGTACTAAAAAACGTGCTCCTGTCCAATCCTCCGAAATCCCAAACTGCACGCTGCTGGACGCACGCGTAGGTCAAATGCTAATGACAAGGTTTGACGAGTGGGCTGGAATAGGGAGGTGAGTGACAGCGGAGTTCATTGGGAACAAGAAAAGCATGAAATTAACATTAAAGATCAAAACTTCAAGAGCACAAAACATACGCTGGGGCTCATTGTTTTTGACAATTGGTTCCTCTTTAGCTCTTTGTCTGTTAGAAGTTATATGTATGTGTGTGACCCACAGACCGGTTGTACCGCATATTTCTGTACACTGCCTCCATCTGACAACAAACACTCTCCGCAGGCAGACGGGCAGTCCGGACTGCTTTCGCGCTGCCCCCGCTCAAGTATAAAACGCCTAAGCCTCCATTACACTCGTCTGCAGATACGGACACGACAGCAGGGTAAACATTCCTGTTATATTTCTTTGACATCTGCCGCCTAAGGCACAGACTTCAGCCCACGTGGTAATGACCCACATGCTTTTTCACACCTTGTCTAAAGTAACTTGCATGATTAAAAGTAGGTTAAATACCCTCAGCACCACCTCCACGGTGACAACCCCAACAGAGGTTAACAGCTGGGAGTCTCCATCGATCTTCTTTTAAAAGTGACAACTGACATCACTCAGACGCTAGCAGACTTGCAGAAAGTACAGCGCACATTTTAGTTAGGAGTGCGTGGGTGCCATGTACCGTGGCTGAGGCCTTACACCAGCGTCTTTTATCTATCTGTCTATCTTTTTGTCATCTATTCTATTAAGATTTAATAAATGCAAAAATGCTGCAAAATAGAGGACGGGTATCTCTTGGCCTGTGATATTGCCACAGATAGGATGCCAAAGGCCAATTTGTGTGCATCTGTGTGACACGGTGATATCTGACAGGATGCTTGTATTTGACGCCCAGGGATGAGAATGTGTTGAAAATAAGCACCTTCACAGGGTGTCTATAGTGTAATAACAGGTAGAGAAACATCCACTGGGGTGTATTCACAATGCTTGTAATGTAGTCATCAGTTCTCAGTGTTAGTGTTTCACAGGGTGGTCAGCATTACATTATATTACTTGTCTCTTTACAGTGTTTATGCGTCCCAAATACAACCCCAGATTTTCAGTCTTGGACCATTCAGCTTATATCAACCCACAGCATGTGACTGTGTGTAGGTGTAATGTGTGTGTTTCCAGCAACTAAGTCTGTGACGACCTGTGAACGTGGAAAAGTGGGCGTTTTTCAGGTGTGCGTGAGAGCGATCGACTGCGTGTCTTTTGGTGTGGTTGTTTACGTCTTCGTGTTAATCTGACCAATCATTCTCCTCCAACTCGGAGTCATCCTCCGAGTCGGAGTATTCCACAGCGATGCGTCGCGACAGGATGGTGGCCACGTCATTTCCAACCGGCTCTCTCTTTGCCTGCTGCTCCTGCTGCTCCTGTACTTTCTTCAGCTGTATGCCTGCAGAAAAATACGAAGTGTTTTTTTAACTACACAATTATTACACAAGTTATAAGACAACGTGAAAACTCATAAAAGGCATCGTTAAAAATAAATACATTAAAATAAATGTAAACATGTCCAAAGAGGAAAAATTCACATCAAAAGGACACACAGGCACAGTTCTTACCCATACGTATCGCAGCCAGCAGATCGCTGCGGGCGTCGTTGACCGCTGTGGTCTCAGCGGATGCGGCGGAGGACATCTTGTGCGTTGTGGAGTGGGAGGCACCAGCTGGAAGTGGAGGAGGTGGAGGACCAGGAGGAGGTGGAGCAGCCTGGGCTCCAGATACAGGTGGTGGAGGCGGAGCATAGCCGACAGCACCAGCCATTGGTCCGGGAGGCATCGGACCTCCAGGAGGTGAGGCAAAGGCCGTCTGAGCAGAAGGGATGACAGGAGCAGGAGGAGGGGGAGGAGGACCAGTGTTGGCATAGCCGTCCATACTGCGAGGAAGAACAAGAGAGTGAATAGAGTTAACAATAATTTTGTTTTCTGACACTTCTGTGACTTTTTCTTACATTTCCCTCCTTAAAAGTAAAGATGAGCATGATAACGTTGATGTAAATCAAATGTATTCAGCTCCGTATCAGTTCATATCTTCTGGTGGGAAGCCCACAGTTTGAAGACCAAAAAATACTAACTCACTAGGTGGCAGCATTAGCTCAAACTTTACAAGAGTAGACTCAAGTAAGAGATTTGTGCTGGCTTTTTTTAAGTATTTGATACAGCCTAAAATATAAGAAGAAAGTTTTACTTTATAAAATAAAATAGGGTCAAAGTCTTCTGAAGCAGCAAAATCACTTTCACTGGCGACCTGTGCAGGAACCTGAACCTGCCTAATGACTGCTGGGATAGCTTCCAGCTCCTCTGGGACCCGAAGCTAAATAAGGAGCTGAGTTGTGCTGGGATTTGATATTTATGTCTCATGTTTCTGATTTGTTTTCTCATATTTAAAGACTGCACCTGCCCATGGGCCCTGAATGTTTTTGTTTGTTCAAAGTCTAAGTGTATCAGCATGTTTAAATTTACATTTTTTTAAATGTAAAATAATGCAAAAGCATTAGCATTGGACAGAAATGTGAAGAAAATACTGAACTATTAGTGATACAGTGGATAATTAAATACAGCTTATGGCAAAATAAACTGTCTGGCCTACTGTACAGCATCAGTAGTGATTGGGATGAGGTTCCTGCATATGCACTGTGCATAAAGTTTAAACATATGTATGCAGAATATTTTGTGAAGCTTTTTTGCTTTGCTTATTGCTGGAAAAAGCGAGAGAACGAATAAGCAGACGAATCCATTTACCTGTAGTCCACTGGTGGGAGAGACATAGAGCCACCGTTCATAACCTCAGTGGGTGGAGGAGGCAGTGGAACGTGGTGGTGGTGAGAGCGGCCCAGTGTGCCACCCTGATAGGCCATCATGGTCCTGCCTCTGTTGTCGTGTTCCCCTCCTCCGCGTGGTGCGTGTCCGGCAGTCATCTGGGCAACTAGGGCGCTGGGTGGAGGGCCGGAGTAGGTGTGGGCGTGACCAGCATGGTTCATACTGTTGGGGTAGTGGTGCTGATCCAGCCCGTGTCCCCTGATGAGGAAAATATAAATGCAGCCTCATGCGTAAGAATAAAATGTGATGAAAACTAAGAGCACACTGGTGTTTGCTCGTCTACCTGTTCTCTGGTGACATCGAGCCCTCAGAGGAAGCGCCTCTGTCCCGGTGTATGGTGTGTCGATGGTCTGGCCGCAGCTCCTTATCCAAAGCCATCATATTCCACTCCTGCCGACGGTTCCTCGCTTTGCGGACCTTCTTGACCTCCCTCTGTAGTGTCCCATCCACACAGCGCCTCTGCTCCTGGAAGAGAGTAAGCCAATAGATTTTAGGTGATATTAGGTTAAAATAAGCAGCACTCTTTATTAAGAGTTGTTTAAGATGTGAAAAATGTACATTTCTCTATCCATCAGAATGAGTTGGACTAAAAATACAATTTTATGTTGTATGTTTGGTTATCTGCCCAAGAGCACCTCAAAATGTAAAATTGCAAGCACCTGTGTTTGACACCCAAATAAATGCTTAATATTAGACCTGTCCTTGCACACTGTATAATATCCTCTAAGTCAATATGGTACCTTCTGCTTCCTTTTCTCTTTCCTCTTGTCCTCCGTGTCCTGCAGCATCTTTTCTTTCCACAGGTCAAAGAAGTAGGAGGGGTCTGTGTAGAACTTAAGTGCCTCCTTGTGGTCATCCCTACAGAGACGAACCCCGAGAAAGTTATGACGATAAACAACTGCCTTCTTATGCAAAGCCACGTTAAGTAGAATCAGTAAGTGTATTGATCCTTAAGATACAAAGAGATGATGGACACAGTGACAGCATCATTTGCTGGAAATGAGACACGCAAAGCTAGGTATACAACAGATGCTGAGGCTAATGGAAGAAAAGGAGTGAAACTGCTAATAGAGCTCCAGCTTTTTTATCACAAAGAGAACATAACAGGAAACGACAGGATAAGGCAGAGCGATGCCGAGAGAATGGAAAAAAGTGAGCAAAGTGTGTCATGTAGTCAGGATTAGGAGTTGGGATTCCCACTGGAGCAAGACATGCTAAATATGTAATGCACACAAGTACTAAAAAGCACACTGCATAAAGGCAGTGACCAAACATGGTACGAAATAGTACCAATTCTGGTTTTTCACTCTTCATGTAGAAGCAAGAAAAAGCCAATGAAAACCTCCTGAAAATGTTTTAAGATTTAAGCCCTTTTTAAAACCACTGAATTAAAATCTTTGTTGGACTGACACTAACCAAAGTAAGAAAAATAAGAGTCATTTATTATCGCTTAAGCCCATCCAGCTGTTTGGGTGTGTTGTGCCTCAGCAACACCAACCTGTAAGGTGTTAGTATGTTGAGAGGTGGAGGCTTGTCGCTCAGGTTGTACATCTCTTTGACCGGAGTGGGAACGCTGCTCTTGGACACCACCTGCTGGTCCTGAGTGGTGGAGCTCTTGAAGGCCTTCCTCATGTTGATATCTTGCAAGGAAACTAAGAACACAAAAAGAGGAAAAGAGGACAAATGATTCATCATTGGAAGGACAAAAATAGTTTACAAAAGCCATTCAGTACGCAGAACATGAGATCAGCAGGACTTCACCAATGAACGATAGCTTAGTGTGCATCCCCCCCACACCAGACTTCAACCCTGTGACTCACCTTCCTCTACAGTGGAGTCCAGCTGTGTGACCTTGACAGCCAGCCGATCAATGCGATCCTGGAGAGAATTGGCACGCAGGTAGAAGGTGTTGGCCTCATTAAACAGCTCGCCAAATATGTCCTCCGCATGTTTGCCTGGGAAAAGAAAAAACAACAGAAGGAGAAAGAGAAATATGAGAGAGAGACTTTTAATCGTTACCTGGAGCCAAGAGAAACCCCTCAGAGACCAAAGTCCAATCAATACACCGGTAATGTGACACAACGTGAAACAGGAGTCTGCAGGAAATGGTGTCTCATACAACTCCATATAGCAACAATCCTCATGAATAATTGATTGTTACCTGAAAACACACAATCCAAACCATAATATGAATTCGTCTGTGTGGATACAGACGCTACAGTGACTAAAGCAGCTAACCAGGATAGTAAATAACACATTCTCTCCTGCCTCAACAACTGCTGTTACGTAATAAATAAGCCTCATTGTCAATGTTTTAAGTAAAAGTTGAGTACTGATAATGCTCCATCTAAATATAAAGCAGTTTGCTTGTCGTCACCCATTTGATTTTAACAGGTCACTGCTGCAGATGAATATCCAGGCTCTCGCTGTACACATAACCCTCCTCTTTATTTCCATGCAGCACACTCCCTGGCTCAAAAATGGGGCAAACAAGGAAGTTCCAAAAACTGCAGTACCTTAAATGACCAACTCAGGCTGACTCAAAAATCCCCATGGACTCCCATGACTCTTAAAAAAACTTTTGGTCTCTATAGCAAATTTGCGGCATTTGTTTTTTTGGATCAAGTTTGATTTTTCAGATTTTCACATATGTATAAACAAAACTGACCGATCAGACCAATCCGGTGTGCTCATAGCTAAAACCACACCAAGGTACTGGATGTACAATGATATGACCAGCAAAATGAATAGTGGGATAATACGGTTTTGGCACCAACAGACGTCGCAGAGCTAGACGTCGCTTGAGGTTAATCAGCACTCTGAAATTATTTCTCCGCCTTCTTAGATGTGGTCCCAACTCTGCCAACAAGAACTCAAACTGTGCCAGCGACATCCTGAAATATGTACAAAAGCGGCAGTGATACAGCTTCATCTCCTGGATCAAACCATAAAAGTGCCCCTACTGAGCCTTCTCCTGAGAAGTGGATGAACTCAAAATCTTAATATCTTCCTTTTCTTGTTTAGAAACATCAGGAACTGCTCATCATCTCTTAATGCCGACTTTAATTTTTTGACAGTGTGTTTTTGAGGATGGATTTTGAGCAAAAATGACCAACCATTTCACCGTGACCAACTCAACTGGACCTCTTTAGTGTGTTTGTGGTATGTTTAATGAATTCAATTCTAGTATATATCTAGTATGTTAATTAGCCCTGTCTGTTCAATATTTATAGTTTATAGGTGCCACTTGGTGGCCGCACAGCAAGAAGGTCCTGAGTTCAATTCCACCATCTTTCTGTGTGGAGTTTGCATGTTCTCCCTGTGTTTGCGTGGGTTCCTCTGCAGACAGTGTACTCCCGAACCATCTGGTCCATCACATCCACGCCACACTTTGTTTTGTTGTAAAGGGTGACAGTGTTTGGCTTCCTTTTGGTAGTGTTGGGAAGCTGGGAAGAAGGCAAGAAAAGAACAGTTGCTTTGGACACAACCCTCCACACCTAGCCCTGGAAAAAGAGCCATGTGTCAGGTCAAACACAAATGCAAGAACAATCATGCCACTGTGCGATGTGTTCACTGCTACAGATACACATGTGGTAAATGCAGACTACAGATACCATGGCAGTGCCAGGATTGTGAGTGATTGCTGAAAATGTTGAAATGTACTCACTCACTTTTTATTATTATTTGTAAATATGTGTACAAATGGTTGGTTTTTTGTACTGTTTTTATCAATAAATCTCAGCAACAAAGGACATACACCCATGTGTGTTGATTTCTCCCTAAGATGGCAAACTGAAACACTCCAAGTTGGTGACTTTTGGAGATTTATTTCCCTGGATGATTGAGAATGCATCAAGACGAACACAAAAGGAAGTTCACAGCTTTTAGCAGCTCCCCCACCCCCTCATTCACACACCCCCACTCCCCTCCAGAATTCCCAGATAACAACCTAATTTACATATGAATGACTAGACAATTTAGCTTCCACTTGGCTGAAGCTAAAGCCTAGCTAAAAGCCTACCAGCCATTTGGCTGGAAGGCGGGTTTTAAAGGTAGAAAGGTAGAAGGCTGGGCACTGCTGCTCTCGGGGAACTCTAAGTGTTAACTGGTTAATCCAAATTGCCCATAGGTGTGAATGTGGGAGTGAATGTGAGCGCAAATGGTTGTCTGTCCCTGTGTGTTAGACTGGCGACCTGTCCAGGGTGTACCCTGCCTCTCGCCCTATGACAGCTTAGGATAGGCTCCAGTGCCCCCCGCGACCCTGAAAAGGATAAGCGGAAGTGAATGGATGGATGGATGGAGGTGCCACTTGCTAACCAAGATTGCAAGCTGATAACTCATGACTACACCTCATCCAAATATAGTCATTTTGGAAAAAAAAAGAATAGAAACCACTGATGCGGTGACTATGTCCATCTTTTACATACAGTCTATGTCAAATCCACAGCCCCACAGTGAGTCAGCAGTGTCTTTTGCTCCTTTTGGCTGGTGCTTCAGTTGATTGTTTCAAAGTTGAAAAGTGTCACAAAGTCTTGCTGGCCACGGACACGTGCGGATTTAGAAGTCACCAGTGGGATGCAACGTGGGACTGCTGGCAGTAAAATCAATGCTACTGGTTGATGTTGTTTTAATAAATCCATGGTGTGAAAAAGGGTGGTCAGCCCCCATTTAATGAGTCACAGCTTCACTGAAGCCCACAGCTCTTTTTGAGATGCGACTGGAACAAAACATTTTTGTTGTTTATGTTCTAACCTCAATTCACTTCAATTCAATTTACAGAACCCAAAACATTTTCTCTCAGCACCTCAGGGAGCTAAAAGGTTCCTTTAAACCACCAACGGCAGAGAAGAGCAGCAGAGATTAGGCAAATTAGCCTGCCTACATGGCAAAAGCTGATTTTAGGACTTAAAAAAATACTACCAGGTTACATCTTTGCTGCCTCTATCGTGTTTTACTGTTTTCTGTCTATGTAAGAGCTGCTACAGGAGACGGTTGTATCAGCTTTTCAGCTATAAGCACCACCTTCCATCAAGGATGTGCAGAGGAACAGGCTCAGAAAACAGAGGTCATTTCTCGGGTTCCCTGCTTTGTTTTCACTCCCTGACTTTATTCACGTTCTAGTTCACTTAGCAACAATAATAAAAAAGCCTGCATCACCTATAATTGATCAATTTCTGAGTTTCGTTTAAAGGCACTTGTTCTGGTTGTGTTGTTCAACTTGAGCCCCACCCATGAGTTTCCAGGGTCACTCTCAAGGTCTTACCCCAGAGCAGATACTTCCTCCTGCCACATATATGGCCCTGAAGAAGTCTGACAGGGGAGGTTCTCACTGTGGGAATGCACATAAAGGTACGGGACACACCCACAAACCACCTGATGGAAAACTGCCTAATCTTAGCACAGAACGAATGGCTGCAAAAGGCCCTTCACTACAAGACTGTGGATCTGGGCAGTAGTGAAACAGAAACATATTACAGCACAAAACAAAACAGAGCACCTCCGGTACAATTCCAATAAAAATATTTAAACATAAACACTTTGTAACATACAATGTGTGGTATGACAAACACAGACTGAGGGCTATTTCTGTCCTTCCCGCTGACAGGATGGGCTGCAAGAAAAACATTTAAAGGAAGGAAGAATCGCAGATCTGGCATGTAGAGCCCCGGTCAACTCTGACCCCTTCAGGGGATTCCTATGGACACTTATACACATGTGCTCACAAACACACACGCAGTGTCTGCAGATATCCCCCCACCAGGCCTGTTAGAGCATTTATATTTAACCCGCACAGCTGCTGTTGAAATACCCACTCCCTGTGCAGGAACTTGACACAATAAGAGACAGAGAATGGATTTGAGGTCAAAGAGATGAGGTGTTAACGTCAGAAAGGACAGTTTAAATTTATGCTGCTGAGTTTCGAAACAAACCTTAAACACAGTTGCCATGAAAGCAGAAGGCAACTGTGGATAACGGGGGCAAATGGGAAAATAGCTGCCCTTTGTGCTGTTATAATGTAATGCAATAGAAAGCCAGCATATAATCGATATGAAACACTTCTATACACACACACACACTTACAGTCACATGTCCACAGCTATAGATAAGTTCATTTTTTGCGCGCCTGTCTAAAAGGATTACATTTCGACCCTCCGTGTTCCAATGTGAGGCTGCTGCAAGGCCGCTGTGAGCCCAGTGACCTCAGGCTCTATAACCATGACAACGGCCAAATCAATCACAGCTTCGGGATTAACGATGAAAGCATGTGATCTTGGCCCGTATACAAAGAGGCTACACACAGTGTGTACCATCGTCACGCTGAAATTAACGGGGTTACAGCCTGAGGATGCTTTTCATGTTCCCAAAAAAAAATACTTGTATGCTTTTTTCTACTAGACCCTTTTAGCAGCCTTTTGTTTACCAGGACGGGCGTGCTAGTGTTGGTGAATGTGTCTGTGAATGTGTGTCTTACTCAGGCTGCTGAGCTGACGGATGATGGCGGAAAGCGTGTTGTTCATCACACACTCCAGCTCGCTGCCGATGCCCTCGGGGAGCGCCCCTCGGCAGAGGTGGCGCGGCTCGATGTTTCTCTTCACCAGCGGCATGGTGAGGCTTCACGCCGGCACGCAGACTGCAAGAGAAACAGAACGGCTTTAGACACAAACGCAGGTGAAGTGTCCCAAGTGAGGACATCAAATAAAATGCTGATCACTTTATTGATTACTACTTTGGTCTAAAAATATCAGAAGTTAGAATAGAGCCATAAGCCTGCAACGAACCTTAAATTCAGGGTATAATTTTTACGCATGCGTGGCAGTAAAAGATTGTATTTTGTTGTAAACTGTCCCTGTTTTTCCTATTCTTGCTCTAAAAACGCAGCATTTTGAGATCAAAAACAAACAAAGTGTGGGTGGGCTGTTGACCAGAGAGCGATGACCAAGAGTGTGCCAAAGCCAGGAGACTTCTGTCGACCAGCACGGAGATTAAAGCATTAGGGATAGGAAGATACGGCCTGCCAGCTAATCCCAGCGCCAGCTTGTCACCGGCCCAGCTGGAAATCTGACACAACCAGAGATTCGTGGATGTGGTCAAGACCAAAAACAACAAATCCTAACACAAAACCTGCAGCAAACAAACACACCCGCATATCTTTCTCCAGATACACTGCTTTCTCATTTTGCTTACACCCACCGCTACTCTGAACTTTAATTGAACCCTGATTGCCTCTGATCAGACACTCCGAGCCCTCTGTAGTTCAAAAGAGGAGAAATCCCAGAGCAGCCATCTTATCGTTGTCTCCTCCTGCTTCCTGTTTTTGAGGTCTGAGCCTGGCTCCTGTTTCCTGGTCCTCCTCCCTGTGTCACATCTCTCCATCCTGTCCAAACACTTGGCTAGAACAATGTAGCTATGGGAAGAAGCTTCAAGGAGGACAAACAGGGGAGACGGATGGAAACGTGCACAAACACTTGTTTCCAATGAAATATTTTTGTTTCAGATTTGCAAAAAAAAAAAAAAGGAAACAAATTATTAATTTTGATTCCAGAGTTTTTACTTTGCAGATATGCCAAAAAAAGCAGGTTGAAAAGACACAGGAGGCCAGTCAGAAGACTAATAATAGCAAAAGATAAAGGGAACCCCACTAAAATTTAATAAAGACAGCATACTGGAAAGTAGATTTTCAAAAACTCATTAAACCATTAAAACTATAAAACATAGACATCCTATTCTTTGTCAATACTTATGTCACTGCTTTGCTTGCACTCCTCATACCTTTAATACAATAAATTGCCAAAAATACGAGCAGGAGTGCTATCAGTGTCCCAGCAGGAGACTACTGTAATTGCAGATTGTGTAATTACAGCTGTTCACAAAGACAAGGACCACTTGTGTTCATCAAGGCCAATTCCCATCAGCAGACCGCTCATTTGCCCCCGTTTTTTTAGCCAGCGACCCCCTGCAAACCCCTGACAGCCTCGCACCAACAAGAGAAAACAAAAGGGTAAAATTACACCATCATGTGTTCCCACAAAAGGACCCTGAATAGTCAGCAAGGGCTGGTTTGGCACAGAAAGGCCCAGCTTAGGTTTAGCTTTGTGCATAAACATTTTGGAAACGCGGCACTGTCTGCTGCTTAAAAATGAGGTGATGCAAATTAGAAGATTGCATGTTTTTGCTTTTACTGTCTGACCGGCATGACAATCACACTGATGAAGCGAAATAATGAGGGACCGGGAAGGAGGAGGGTGGAGGGGACAGGAGGAGGGATGAGGCCTTGTGCTGCTTGTGGGAAATGGGGGGGGGG